GCAACAGTTCCTAGGATCTTTGGCTAAAAAGCGATTGTGAGGGACGATCCACTGAATCTCCGCGCTGCAAACACGTAATGATAAATGTGTCGTTACATGAGGATATCTATTTTGCTGCGGAATCTATTATTCAAGCATTCAGGCTCTCCTAAATCCCTCGCTCCTCAAGCACAATGTGCCATTTTAGAGTCCATGTTACTGAAGCACTCGTACGAGTCTAGAACGTGCAACTGAACTAAAATCTACATCATGCCACTGCTCCGCACCAGTCTAGGCTCTACGATAAGCATTTTAGGCTATTGTTGAACATCCTTGACAGACTTTATAAGGATTTGCATTGGACGAACTCAGTGGAGTTCACTGATCTCGGTAAGAAACCGAGGCTGAAACAGCTTCGAGTTTCTTCCAGTCCTGACTGACAAAAACACTCCGCACCAGTTTTCAGCTCAAAGGAGGACCAGAACAGCATTAAACAAAAGAGAGGGTTACGAAGACTTTGCTTTTAAGGAGCGGCTACCACAACAAAAGAAAGAGTATTGATACTTTTGAGGAAAAAAGAAACAAGTAATTTATTTTGGGTCATATCGGCCTATTGATTTTGAAGTAGGACTCCCTGATGAAATCTATGGTCCTCAAACACTCCATCAGGTTATGAAATATCAATGGCCAATTTGATGTGAAAAATCAATTGCTATGATATGACCTTTTGTCAATACTTTCCTGAATTCCCATTTCTAATGTCCAACTTATTTGTCTTGCAGCCTCAGGTCTCCCTTCTTCTTTTACAGAGCCGTACACTGTCGCCCTCCCGCCACCTTCTTGGGTGGATTTCTACTGAAGTCAGTGGGGTTACTCCAGAGTAAGAGGTTCAAAGGCTGGAGGCCATTCTAGCCAATGATTCCGCTTTGCTGGACCACTGCCTGTCTTCGCCCAAGGGCGTGACGAGGCTAGTAATACAGCACAGAGCAGGCGAAACAATGCACAGAAAAAGGCCAATGCAATTTCTTATCATTGTTAACTAGAAACTGAAACACACACAGAGAACTATATATATATACATACACAATGCATATTGGTCTCCCGATAACACAAACCAAGTGTTAACTGCATTCCTGTTATCTTGACGACGTTCTCTAAATCAGAGATTTGTCGTCTGGAAATTGTCAGCGAATCTCTGCTCTGAATCATGACCAAGCAAGGGATTTATACATTCGGCTCAGAACTAACAAGCCCGAGATGGAGGGCAGGATCCGCCGAGCCCCTTATGAAACCAAAAACAAGGGAAATACATAGTACAGAATCACCAACAAAGAACCAACTGTGTAACGAAATCACAATAAAGCATAAATTACAAATGTATAGCAATAATCGTGACATACTGTAAATATTGCCAACAAGAAGTGTGAACCCTATGAAGGACCACCGCTGCAAACACTGATGATCCATAGATGCAGAGGGATTAAAAGTAGTCCAATAGTCTTCACAGAGTAGTGTCAAAAACACGTGACGAAGAAGATATCATGTCCTGCTACTTTCTTCTTTCTGGCAATGTTTACAGCATGTTGTGATTATTGCTATAAATTTGTAATTTATGCTTTATTGTGATTTCATTGCACAGTTGGTTTTTTGTTGGCGAGCCCCTTATGAAAGCACAAAGCCTGCATGTGAGGAGGGAAGACCCTGTTGTCCATCAAGCACTCCCTCTAATGACCACCTTTTTGCTATATCGCCGGCACGACTCTGGAGGGTCCCCCTGATTCTCGGGAGTGACTGGCATAAGGATATAGAGGCAGGAAAACCAAAAATCCACAAGGGGAGTTCTGCTCATGGTTATCTGGATCCAAGCCACTTTTCATAGTTCCTGGTATCTAAATGCACAAACTTGCTCATTCCTCTATTTCAGTGGGTCCCCGTCCTAAAAATCCTGGTTGTTAACATGGTGAAATACACCTGCTTTACGAGAAGACTATCCTCAGGGACCCCAGTTCAAAAACTGTAACCATTGGGCTTCACTATTCTCCCATCTTGCATTACTCCTATCTGCTCCCCCCCCCCCAAGATACAAATGTATAAAAATATAGCCCATCTGTTCTTCACCGGTACACCTTTCCGTGACTATGAGCCTCGAACACAACATGTGATAGTAAATATCTATGGAGGTCTATGATACCACTTTCAGCTGTGGAAAGATGTGAAAACTTGAGCCTAGGATCAATTACTAGCCATTTTCGTGGGGAAGGAGACAAGAGCACGTGGCTATTAACGGGATACGTCCACGTCAACCCGTCTAACTAGTGACAGTGAAGCTTCTGAGACCACCACATGGCTGTGAGCTCAACACATGAAGCAAAAGCAACAAAGAAGAAGATTATGCTGAAGTACGTTTTTCTATTCTCATGGTGTTCTAGCGCTACAAGGCCTTTAATGTCCATGGGGGCGGCTTCCACACTGAGCTTTCAGTCCGGTTTTGCGACCCAACATGAGTGAGGGTTTTTGGACCATCCGCATGACTTCCCCAACGGGGCTCTGAACATCCTCTCCCCATGCTCTGTATGCTTCTCTCCAAAGCTCTTTCTGGGATGATTGTAGTTAAAACAGATTTGCCTACAAGGCGGATGGGGAAATGTGGACTTTGGAACCTTCCCACCCACGTTGGAGCTATTTTCTCTCCCTATCTCCTCGCGCCCACTGTTCCCTCCACCTCGCTACAGGCAGGCATTTTGCTGGCTTTTTAAAAATCGGTAGCTGTTGTATTGCTATAACAATACAGCTACTGCCATTTTTTTTAAAGTCCTCTGATGGTATGGCAGGGGGATGGAAGGCCCAAGGGAATACTGAGGAAAACACAGAGTGTACCCCCTTCTCGACAACCTGTTGCTGATGTGAATGCCTGGGCATTCACAGCAGCAATGAGTGCGCAACAGGGAACTGTCCTCATGCGGAGGCAGCTGGAATGCATTTCAGTGGAGAGCCTTCAGGAATGGATTTCTTAAAGTATACGGCAACACTCACAGCAAATTCCGCAGAGCTGGGATCCTTATTGGTTATATGAACAGAACAAGACAAAAAACGAATATCGACCCGGGTATCTCTTCTGTAGAATTTAGGGTTTCGGAGGAGAATGGAATAGTTTTGGAAAGATTTTGGGAAGGGCTTTACGATGAACAGAACAAAAGGCTTCACTCGAGGGACTGGAGTGATTTACACAGAGTGGAGAAGAAACCAGTTGCCCGGAGAAAAGCCACCCAGCTTTGAAATCAACAGTATTCCTTGAATCCTGCTTTGCCAGAGATCCCCTTAAAAACCTAACACCTTATTGCTTCACTTCCTTCAAGAACGTCAAACTCATCAGAAAGAATGGGATAAACGCGGTTACTCTTTTTCTCACATAAGAGCTTCAGAGCTGATAGGAATGCAAGTGAATCTCTCCCCTCCCGCCTAAAATAGGGTCCATTTTTTTTACTGCTGGGCTTTAACAGTATTTTAAGCATTGGTAGAAATTGTCAGCTCAGGGACAAACTACATGGGACATTTTTAAAACACAGCAGCTGTGGGGAATGTTCATTTAAAACTCTGTGGGGTCCTGATTCGGCTCAGGAATGTGGAGTGAGTGGGGGGGGGGGGATCCTGCACTTACCCACTGTGCTGTTTGCCTGAGCTGAAATGGCCCCAAGAAGGAGTTATTTCCCCTGTTATGCACATGCATGGAATACTGCATGTGCCGGTCTAAAAAGCAGCAGATAACTCTCTTCCAGGGCCATTTTGGCTCAGGAACGTGGAGTGGAGAGGAGGCAGCAGACCCCTTTTCCCTCTGCACTGCAGTTCTGTGCTGAATTGGGCCCCTGCAAAGCTTTAAATGCATGTTCCCTGCAGCTGTTATATGGCTGCAGGGGGAAGTGAGTCAGGTTCAGGGAACCTGGACCCGACGAGTTAAAATATGTCTCATGTAGCTTGGTCCTCAGAAGACTACATCTTCTCCTCCGAGCTCTTTGTCACTACTTTACGTTGGATGGGGAGAGCCAAGAGATTAGCCCATGCTGAATCCCACTCACGGCCACCTGTGAGCTTGCAGCTGTCCCATGCGTAGTGTCTGGGGCCCCTCGGAAACCTCTGAGTGATCACAGAGGCCTCTGGGATATGCCCTTCCTTTTGCATGGGCTCCTGCCGAGTCAGCAATGGTGCCGTTTCTGACCCAGCTAAATGAAAAGAGCTCTCGTTGACTACTGGGCAGGGCTCAGCAGGGTTGGAAGCTAGGTCTGGCTATCGCCGCACTGGTGTCAGGTCATTCAGATACCAATGGAAATCATACCAGCTGGAACTGGGTCGACGGCCAAAAACATAGCTGGCGCTGCCCACTGCTGCTCGGAAATGGAAGCCTTTTTACTCTTCATTTGAAAAAAAAAATAGCACAAGGGCCCCCCCTCCCCCCCAAGTTCTGTGGATCAGTTCAACGGCTGCTTATACTGACAAGTCCCAAACTGACCTTCCTGGGAATACACCGGCGTAAACGGTCATTCAGTCAGAAGAGCAGGAAGAGTTTTTTATACCGATCATGGGACGACACAAATATCTCCTGCCATCAACAGCAGTCGGTCAGCTGAGAAAGCCAGCAAATCGTGATAAGCAAACACAAATGTATTCTCGAACGTCTGATGTGGAATGTGAAAAATAGATGCGTATGAAAAATACTTCGCAGCGAAGTCCTTGGCAGCGTTAGCTACAGACGCAAAACTTCGTATCGTAAACAGCTGTGACTTTCCTACTGCAGGAATCGACGAAATGCTCCGGCGTCGCTAAATGTGCGGAAGCCACCCACCCCCCACCCCCACCCCTTGAAACACGTTGATAGAAGGGCGATTTCAAAGCATTATCTAAATTACAGAAAATACTTCCCCCCCCACAAATGCTTCCCCCTCCCTCTTAGAATTCAGTTTTGGGCACTTTTTTTTTCCTTTTACGTTTTAAAAACCACAATCATTTTGGCACTTCGGGTTAAATTCTTAGGCACAGTGGGACAGAGTCAGCTTTGCTAGGCCTTCTCCGTGCATTCGGTAGAGCTGCTGGAACTCGGCAGGCAGCTGATGGGACTCCTGCCACTTGGTAGTAAACTTGGTTCCCTTTTTATCATAGTAGTGGTAGGGGAGGTCTTCTCGGTTGTTTGGGTTGAACCCAAACGGCCAGAATCCGTACAGGTGGATTTCGTCGCAAATGGCCGACGCAAGAGTATATGTGAGAATACCTGTGCTGAGCCGCTTGGGAGCCAAGTGTTTGTTCTTCCAGTACCTGTGAAAGAGTGACATGGAATGACACATGGAACCGACAGTGTACTAGGGAAACGCATAGTTATAACTCCTCACTGTTCCGTCAGAAAACTTGAAATAGTAGCATGTAGCCAACCATCCATTCCCTTCACAGAGGAGGAACTTCCTGCTTCCAACTCCTGTTTCAACCTGCTGATCCCCCTTCCAATTTTTTTGTTCCTGGGGGTCAGCAGACCCTCATGGATAGCAGAGGGGGCATAGTGGGGGGGCTGCACTAGGAACGGGTGGAAATCACCAGCCCCTCTTCTGCAAATGGCAATATCATTGTTTTGGAGGAACTGCATGGTTGGGTACACGCCAGCAGCCTCCCATCCAGGAGTGAATCAAGTCCATTCTTCCTTAGGTTCAACCAGTGCTATAGGACTACTTTCTCCCAGGCCATTCCCTGTCTGATGATGAGTTATGCCAGTTACAGTCAGGCCCATAGCCAGGATTTTTTTTAAATTTGGGGGGGCCTTTAAATAAGTCAGGGGGCACCCCGCACACAAAGGAGAGCCTGTCCTTCCCAAAGGATGGGAAGTCAGGGGGCATTGGCGCTAAGTCAGGGGGCCAGGTCCCGAGATCCCCCACTGTAGCTACGGGCCTGGTTACAGTCCTTACTCTGGACCAAAATCCTCGTCCTCTGCATCGGTTCTCTTCTCTTCCATGCACCAGTCAATGTGCTAGTACACAGATTATGTAGGCCAGTGCCCTTAAGTTGCAACCAATTTTTGGAAACCCCAGGAAGGGGTTTGCAAAGCACGTGAGAAGCAGAGGTGGTCTGCCATTGCCTTCCACTGCAGAGGCTTCCTTGGTTGTCTCCCATCCAAGTACCAGCCTTGCTTCACTTCTGAGATCTGATGAGGTTATACTCACTGTCTTCCCTCCTGGTATTCAGATTACTCGTCTATTTGCAAAGAACCCAGTGTTGTTTAGTAGCTTGGGCCCAACACACTTAAGATGACATCTTCCTCCTCCTTCCCATCACACCATATTGGATTGACCAAGAATGGCCACCTACCAATACCTAGGGATCCGAAGTTCCCCCGAGGGGCGGGGAAACCACCGCCCCAGAGGCCCGTTCCCCACTGCCGCCGGATCGGGCCCCAGGGGGAACTCCGCCCTGACGTGCGCGTCACCTGGAAGTGACGGGAGGACGCCAGGCATGCTGGGGGCGGGGCCACGGCCATCCAAGGGAAAGCTCCCAGCGAAAATCCACTTGGCAACCCTACCGATACCGTATCATTCTCTGATACTGAAGAGACTGGGTAAGCTCTGCTCACAAGGGGGTGAATATATGGGTTGCATCCAGCCAACCTTCTTTCTCAGTTTTCCTCGGTTCTCCTCCTGACTGCGGCCGTTGTCCAATATGGCTTTTGTCCATGCAGTTGTGTGATCTCCAACATGGCCAATTTGGGTGATCATAGAGGTCCCTTCCTCTCCTTTTCACCAGGGGAAAAGCTGCTGGGTCCAACAGCATGTGCCAAAGTCCTTGAGTGCTTACTAGAATCATTGGACTGAGGCAAGGACATTTAAGCCCCATCTTTCCCAATTTTTGGTGTTGTTGTTGCAGCATATCGGGGCAAGAGGACCTGCAAGCCAAGTTGGGGCCTCTCTGACTCATTACAGAATAGGGAAAAAAATCACACCAAGGCATCTGGAAGGAAGGAAGGCTTGAAATACACTGTCAAAGAAGGACTAGATTATCATTGTCTTTTGCTGTGTAGTTCACAGTTGGTACACTGTAAAATTTAGTGACCTCTGAGCTACTGAGAGACTGTTATGTTAAGCCCCAAATAAGAGTTCAGTGATGGCAGAAGCTAGGGCCGCAGTGGCTCAGAGGTTAAGAAGCTGAGCTGCAGACCGGAAGGTCTGTAGTTTGGCAGTTCGAGACCCTAGTGCTGCGTGACGGAGTGAGCTCCCGTCTCTGACCCCAGCTCCTGCCAACCTAGCAGTTCTACAGCAAGGAAGTCTTTGGACAGCGCTGGCTCTTTGGCTTCGAAACGGAGATGAGCACCGCCCCCTAGAGTCGGATTCGGCTGGCTTTCGAGCAAGGGAAACCTTTACTTTTACCTTCAATGGCAGAAGCTACCTAGGAAGGTTGTGTAGGTACCTGTGGAATCAGTTAAGTTACAGCATAGACAAGTCTCCCGGTTGGTGATTATGCCGGCCACAAATCCTGCCGGCCTCCGCAACACTCTCCTTTAGGGTTGCCAAGTGAATTTTTGCCGGGAGCAGGGAGCTCCCGGCCGGCATCTGGTGCGCGTGCACACACCGCACGCATGTCACCCGAAAGGGACGGGAGGATGCCAGGCACGCTGGGGGCGGGGCCATGGCCATACAAGGGAAAACCATAGAGTTTTCCCTTGGATGGCCGTGGCCCT